AAATAAAGTTTATTATTATAATATTTATTATATGTATGTGTGAGTGTGTGTGCACGCGCGCTTATGTTGGTCATTGAGAATTTCTGGGGTTCCTATGAGATGATGACTTGTAGGTGGTACTTGGATGCTTTGGTTGGATTAGGGGTGGTACTTGGTCCAAAAAGTTTGAGAACCACTGAACTACAGTAATAACACACACAGAACATGATGTGGTATATTTATATTTTCATTAGGCTTGTTCCTCATAAACGATTAAAGACTGGGAAAATAATGGCCCGAGGCATTCCAGGTAATGTGTGTGCTTGGATTGTGAACTGGATAATGGACAGAAAACACAGAGCAGAGAGAAAGAGTGAAATTTCCTTCTGTGGTGACATCACTGGCGGAGTACAGCAGGGATGTGTATTAGGACCACTGCTCTTCTTCATGTATATCAATGATCTACGTACTGGTATAGTTGGAAAATTATACTATAGAGCTTTGCAGACAATACAAAATAGGAGGATAAGCAAACTCTGTAGAAGCAGCCAGGGAAATTAAAAAATTAGACAGAATTCAAGACTGGGCAAACACGCAGCAGGTGGTATTGTATGTAGACGACTACATACGAGTTTTAGAGGCAGAAATGGAAACATGAGCTACAAATACTGTATAAAATAGGACACAAGTGAAAACTGTGAATTTAAAACTGAGAACAGGAAGGAGTTTTACACAAAGGCTTGTGGGTATCTATAATAAACTACCCAGCCATGTCATCAAAGCTAATATCCTGAATTCTTTCAAGAAATGGCTGAATCAGATCCTCAGATAGATCATCTACTAGCAAGCACGTGAGCTAGATGAGCTGAACGACCTCCTCTTGTTTGTAACTTTTCGTACGTGCTTGTGTACACCATAAACCTGCCCTGTACCTCCAGTGAGAACCTCTTTCATGTCTCGCTCTCTTGTTTTCTCTCAATACTGTTTCTAGAAGAAGTGTGTTTCCTGTTTAATATACACTGAACATATCAGCACGTCACCTTGACCTTACTACTGAATGTAAAAATAATCTGGGTTCTCAATAATCCTGTTTTCACATTGAGGACTGAGCCATCAGCAAATCCAAGGTTTCCTTCAAGATGAAGTACAAGCTACTGTAGATCTTATCTGATTGAGTACTGTAATATCCCAATACTGAGATATCAGATTCTCTAACACCTACTGCTGAACACATTTTAGCTCTGACTAAATGTCAGAGACAATGTGAGATGGAAGTGGGTGCTCGGGTGATATTTTTGCAAAGTTTCAGTGATACAGAAACAGCAGCATGAAAGACACAAAGGTTTTTCTCTGACCTTGGCCAAGATGTAGTTGTTGAGGTATGGCATGTACCCCTGATTGGACACAGGGCCAGCATCGTCATCCCGAAAGTGCTCTTCCAGGGCAACAGGATCGTGGGGGATGTTCAGGGCGGTGTACAGGTTGTGGGACAGCACCTGCACACAATGACAAGGAACACAGTGCTGCTTCAACAGGATTTACTACATTTATTAGCCTCGATATCTGAAAGCTTAAGGTAAACGTGAAATGATGTCAAGGCATTCAATCCATACTTGCAGCTATTGAATGTAAAAACCCCTCATCAGGATTAAAGTGTGTGTAGGACACAGCCCAGCCATGGTCTGAACACCTCCATTCAACCAGATAGGAACACGTTCTGTTTCACGGTGACAGCCTGGAGACCAATTCAGTAGGAGTAGTACAGTAGGAGCAATCAACTGCAGCAATGCGAGCAGAGTACCTTGGTCAAGAGATCAACAGAAGCACCCCAGATGGAACTCGGATCCACAACCTTCCCCTTTTGAAGCCAGATCCTTGACCCTGAGACCCTGCTCCTGTCGCCAAACAGCCGCTCCCTCTCTTCGGACATTGAACCCCAGGATCCAGCGTGACAGGAGGGGATACTCACCACTGTGCTAATGTGCAAATTCTCTTTGACCCCTCAAGATAGGCAGGAGAGAACAATTACTGTAGCAACCATCGGCCCAGTGACACAGCTGGACCGAAGGGCATGTCCTAATTTGCAAAGCTCTCAACAGCTGTACATGGACAACGTAACCTGGCGATTTTATGCAGTGATGTGTAATGTGTCAGGTGCTCTTGCACTGACTCTAAGCTATGGAAAAATAAAGAACAAGACTTAACTTCATGCAGGGCCAGGCAACCTTGGCTTTTACAGCTCATGTTGGACCATCCAGTCCAAGCTAATTCCGGAATGGATCCTTTAATTGCTTAATTGACCGCAGTTTGTAATTAAGGATTTGACATACAAGACATGGGATGGGAGACAAAGGACCAGGTAAAGATTTATTCCCTGCTGAAAGGAAATGAAAAGAGACACAACATTTGGGCTGTGCATGCTGACAGAGCTCCCTACACGAACTTCATGGACTGGGAGAGCTGGTCTAGTATGTAGTTATATGTTTGATTGTTTGGCATGTGATCGCTTTGCTCTCAGCAAACCACGGACAGGTAGCTGTGACGTCTCTGGTGTCTACAGACACATTTACATTGTTGGGACACATTTCCTCTCTCAAGCATTTGAATCTCTAGCAATGAAGTGTATTCCGTCAAGATTACATGTGACTTTCTGAAAACTTCGACTACAGGCACCAAAAAGGCAAACATGGTTTTAAACTTGCTAGATCAACAATCTGTTAACCATTTTTGAACGCCGGAAGAAATGGGCTGAAGATAACATCGCCAACTTAGGTTGTAGGTTGTACATATTTAGAATTGGGATCAATATGCTTCACACTGATTTTCATGACAAACCTTCTGCATCTTTATTTCTTGATTTACAGTTTTTAGCTTGTATGCTGCAATTTTCCTGTGACCTTTCGGTAGAATAAGTCGTTAGCCAGTGTTTAAAGTAGTGCTATTTGCTATAGCAGGCTTTGAAAATCAACTCCATCCCCTAAGCCAGGGGTGTCGAACTGACAGGTTGCGATTGGCCTGCAAAGCCCATTTAAAAAATCAGAGCGACTGGCCTCGGTTCAATCCCTGTCTCATCAGAGCCTGCACGGCCCACTTTAGCAAGGTAGAGCAAGCACTCTTGATGATGCTGCTGTACTTTGTTAAAGACGTAGGTCATCATGTTAATGTCATTTCCCCCTCCAAAACAATGTGAGAAAGTGTTTAAAAATGCAAACAAAATGTTGATCTAAAGTTAAAAGCATAGAATTTAAATCACGTGACTTCATGATAAAATGTTATAATGCACTCATTTAGAATATTGTGTACAATTTTGGTCACCACATTATAGAAAATATATTGTTGCTCTGGAATCAGTCCGGAGAACAGCAACCAGATACATTGGGGATTAGGGGATTGAACCACACAGGCTGAAGAAACTAAACCTTTTTAGGCTCGAACAGGGAAGATTACAAGGGCAGCTGATACACATTTTCAAATTCCTCAAAGGCGCTGACTAAATCATCCCAGAAGACATCTGAATGAGCAGTGAAACACGAACAAGAGGGCACAAGCGAGAACTAAGTGAAAGTGCATTTAAAATTACTTGTTTTGACACTGAAAAGAGGCAACGCTGCTCAAGATTGGCTGCACAGCTGCCTCGCAGAACACTTTACTGAGGGATGCATTTCCACCCTTAAACTGCAGTTTAAAAAAAGGAACTGGCTCTGAGCTTCAATCCTGAGTCATCTCACCAACTGAATATGTATTTCCCAACTGGCAGAAAAGTGGCTCAACTCTGCTGGAGGCGGGGTTGTGATTGGCCAGCCAGGCAGTGACATCACTGAGAGACTCCCTGCTCCACCAATCAGCAGTGACTCAATGCCAGCAGCCATATCACCCTGCAACTCACAGCTGGCAGCCCACTGAAGCTCAGCAGGTGTGAACCTGGTCAGTACCTGGATGGGAGACTCCTGGGAAAGCTATGGTTGCTGCTGGAAGAGGTGTTAGTGGGGCAAGTAGGGGGTGCTCACCCTCTGGAAATACTAATTCTCAAGTATAGTGATGGTGTCACTGCAGTGTAAAAAGGCGCCGTCCTTTGGATGAGACATAAAACTGAGGTCCTGACTCTCTGTGGTCATTAAAATTCCCAGGGCGTTTCTCGAAAAGAGTAGGGGTGTTACCCTGGAGTCCTGACCAAATTTCCCCCTGGCCTTTACCAATCATGGCCTCCTAATAATCCCCATCTCAGAACTGGCTTCATCAATCTGTTCTCCTCCCCACTGAGAGCTGGTGTGTGGGGAGCGTACTGGTGCACTCTGCTCTCCTCCCCACTGAGAGCTGGTGTGTGGGGAGTGTACTGGTGCATCATCCAGGTGGGGCTGCACACTGGTGGTGGTGGAGGGGATCCCCATTACCTGTAAAGAGCTTTGAGTGGAGCGTCCAGAAAAGCTGTATAAGTGTAAGGTTATTTACTACAGCTCATGGGACTATGCCTTCCCCATCAGAAGCATTAGGTCACAGCTATGGAGTTTGAGTGTAGAACTCCTGCACAAGAGCTGTGCAGTCTATTATTACTATTATTATTGACTGTTTTGTAAGGCACTGTGCAGCTTGCTATGCCTCAAACGCTCCCATACTCACACTCCAGGGCTGTATAGGAGTGACTGGGTGGAGCCGATATACATGAATTATTGACACTTCCCAATTGGGCAACGAAGCACTTTAAAAGTTTTTTTTGCAACGCGATAGCTTTTATTCAAATAGGCCAGTGAGTGGCCAGTTTAGCCTGGGTTCACTCTTCCTTTATCTGTGCCAGGCAAGGTCTCATAAAATTTAAAATTACACAATACCTCACCACATATGTACCACAGATGTAGAAAGCTAAGTTTGGTGAAATATGTCCTAATTCGGACCCAGCATGTGACAGATGTGCACGAGCTTCTGCCACTCTCATGCCTGTGTTTTGGTCTGGTCCTGAACTGGTTCATTTCCGCTCCTCTATCTGGGGTGCTTTCTCAGGAATTACTCATCTAGAAATGGCACCCACTCCTTTTATTGCTTTTTCTGGTGTGCCAGCTGTCGACCTCACCCTCTCAGAACTACAGTCTGACAGCTTGGCTTGTGCAACTCCGTTTCTAAGGTGCCGAATCCTCTTCCATTTCGAAGCAAGCTGCCCCACCCACACGGGTTCAATGGCTCGGAGAAACGAAGATAAAATCAAGTACGCATGTAGCTTCACCATAATGATTTTTAAAGTTTGTTACAATTTCTGAACTATTTTGAGACCTTGAGCTTCCCCTCTACACCCTAGATTTGAATCTGTTATAACAAAGGGGCTGCTTGGATGAAACCTGTTAGGACTGGCCTTTCTGTTTTTATTTTGCTGTCTGGAGACTGTTTAGTGCAATTTGTATTCCCTTTTTTGTGTCCCTTTTTTATGTCTTCTCTGTTAGGTTTACTTCTTTTTGCGAGGGAAGATTTGAGAAGGATGTGGAGCAGAAATTCTGTGTTTTTCCTTTTCACAAATTAGTCTCAGACTAGACACTGTACCAACCAATTTACGTGTTCTGTAGCATTACTTCAATAATACTTTTCCAATCATTTTACTTATGCATCTAGAATTTGTGTTGATTTAAACAAACAAACAAACAAACAAACAAACAAACAATAAAATAGTTGCCAGAAAATGTTAGCTTTGATTCCCCACTAAGGATGGGGATGAAAGGAAGATTGCACGAGCCGTTTATATTTCTGTTCGTGACCACAGATACTGACAAAACATAACAGAAAACACACTACTGCTTCTATCAGGCACAGTGCCAGCAGAGACAGCACATACTAATGCAACAAGCCTGATGATAAAATCTTTAGAACACAAGAAAAGTAACCAGTTCCCGTAAAAAAAACATTCATATCTGTCATGCTCTGCCACACTGGAGGGTCTGAACAGCAAACCTGTCAACATTTCAGAAGAACCCAAATTGCACCAAACTGTTTGTTGACTCTCCATCTCAGAGACCTTTTTACAGACTTAGGACCTGCAAGCCTGTCAGATGATTTTAAAATAGTTATTTAATAATGTTGACATGATAGACGTAGGAAACAGGCCTGCTGGCTGTAGGATATTAAGCAAAGAGTGACCACGTGTCAAAAACACAAAGAAACTAACATCGAGGGGTGAAACTCACCATCCACAGACCCCCTGTTAGTGATAAACATCTTGGTGATGATCCCTCCAAGATATCCATCACTTCGTAACACTCACTGCTGTTACTGTTACCAGACCAAAATGCTTCATTTTTTTCACTTAGATGTTAAAATTACTGTGTCAGAACAGAAATAATCAAAACAAATAAGTACGTCAAATGAATAAAAAGCAATAGATGGTCAGAGATGACCAAGCTGTGTTAGAAAGGTCAGTGCAGTGCACCCTGTTTAGAGCAGTATTTTAAAATAAGAAACTAAGTCAGCCATTTGGAAAGGAATGCTGGGGGCTCTGGCACGCTGAGCAGCTCTGCCACAGGGTCCTCACGAGGAGTCTCAGGGACTGCAGGACCCGCATGAAGCTAACACATGAGAGATCAAGTCAGTGACATTTCTCCCATTTCTTCACACTGCGAACACTTCCTCTAGTAAGGTATACTAGCTATACATATCTCGCATCTGCAGTGACTTTCATGCGAACGGACCCAGCAGGGTTGTGGCCGGTGTGAGAGTCGCTGGCAGGAAGGACAGCTCTCCATTGGAGAAGAAATCCGCTGCATTGCTTGGTAAGACTTAAACTGCCTTCATGCGTGCAGACTGCACTCCCCACAGAGCTTACCTGCATCTTATCTCTGTGCTGATTCTTTCTAGCTACAGCACCGATGTGCTGTATCATCACAGTTTTTTTCCCCTGTCTTTATATTATTGGTTTGTCTGTGTTGCATCACTTCGAAGGAGTTACTCCTGACCGCGGGACCCAATATTCTTAATATTCTCATGCAGTGTGTTAAAACAATGATAGTGTGCAGCGTGTCACCATTCACTGAACCTGCTCGAAGTCCTGCCCAGCCCCCATCCTGCAGATCTGCTATGTCAGCATATCGTTGTTCCAGTTCAGTTCTCAGTGCCCCACTTGAAATAACCACTGGGGCAGTTAAACAGCTCTTTCCAGCTGCAGGTGTTGAGCTGTTAATGCAAAGAGACCTTTAGGTGCTGCAGGATGGTCTTGCAGGTCTAAAGCAAAGCAGGAGGTTGAATTCATTTCTGTTTTACACCGAAAGGAAGAAGTTCATGGACCTCTTCAAAGACAGATGACTTTCCATCAATTTGCAAATGGAGGAAGCACAATTTAAGTTTTATTAATCAATGATAAGTCGTGAGTAGCTTACTCTGAGCTGTTTGGAAAATAAAATAATAAGTGGGCATTACACAGACTGGGAACAGAAGGAACTGATTTACAGAAAGTTTAAGTAACATATTCTGTGGTAGCATATGTTATATAAAATTGTATTGGTCAGCCAAAATCAGTTACTCCTGGCCTGTCTTTTACACTTTTCTGTTTCTTCTAACCTCTGCTCTTTCCGCAAAGACACACACACCTTGGTTCCATTATGGACAAAACACCACCACTGGTGTTTTTTTATTTTTTGAGCTGGGCTCAAGTGCACTAAAGAAACGACCAGCATGAACAACAAGAAGCAGACAACTGTGATGCAATAAAGATATAGAAAAACAAGCAAAAGCAACTGCAGAAATGAAGAAACAGCTCTCTAACCTCTCTCTGCTTCACCCTGTCCCAGCTTGCCTATGAAGAGCAGATGGCCTTGGGGTTCTGGGCGAACTCTCCAGGGAGAGAAGCCCAAGACAAGCTGGGAATTCCAGGTGCTTGCATAGGTGTTGTTGATGAAGGTAGGAAGTTGCTATTCTGAATTAGGTTTTCATTTCACATAGATTTCCTGGCAGCATAGACCCAATCTGCTACCACTTGTAAAAGTAAAAAATAAATCAGACGTACCTTTAACTGGGATTTAGAGACCTTTCCACTTTGCTCCACGTCCAGGGATGTGAAGGCGTACCAGATGGACTTGAGCAGCTCTGCTTTGAAATTCATCTTGCAGCTGCTGTCTGCTACATACTACAAACTGCTGGAGTGCACAGGCAAGGGGAGTGTGTGAGTGAGAGAGAAAGAGAGAGAGACAGTGAAGAAACACTGGAAGATGTTAGATAGCGTGTGGGTGGAGACACGACTTGAGAAAGTTCTTTGAAACAACAAGTCAGTGGCAAATATTTCAAAAATAACAACAGCACAGACAACTGGTCCGACCAGTTCACGATCAGCCCAGTCTCGGTTTTCGTGATTTTGTCTGTTTCATTAAGGTTTCCTCCCAGCTAAAGACGGAGTGCAAATTCTCACAGCTAAATAAACTCCAAACTCTGTAATCCTTATATACTGTAGGTCACTTTCTCCAGCTAGTCCGTTTATAGTAAAGCAATTCATAATATAAAAAACTACTGTACTTCAGCTTTTCAGATTCAGAAGCTTTGAAAATAAATATTTAAATATATATTTAAACCATCACTTTATGTTCCATTCAGTAACTGTGAAACCAAATGATCAATTGTTGTCTTATCTAACTTCTTCTCAGTGATTGTGATTTGTAAAGCTGATCTATTGAAATTAATGAAAAACAGCACAAAAAGGGAGATCTGTTACAGAACTTGTAAGCCTGCTGTTGTCAAACTGAAACACCCTTCCTTCTGTGAATGAATTTACCGTTTATTTGTCTCTTGGTTGAGCTGAGGAGATTCTCTCCACAAAGTGACTGCTGTATATCACATGGCCCCTGAGCCTGGCTTAGCTCGTTCTGTCTTACTGAAGGTCAGCTTTTCCCTCAGCTCTTGAAAGAGCTGAATCAAGGCTTTCTTTATAACTAAGCTCATGTCCATCTTCTAATGACAGAGAGGACACGTCAGCCCTGCTGCTGTCATTCCTGTTCATTTCAGCATAGAGTGCGTCATCTCTCTCTCAGGGAGGTAGATGTGTCAAACCACAGGCTGTGTAGTATTCTTAGCCCCATTTATCAACCTCATCTGCAGCTGTGTTTACAGTCTGCTGTTGAAGCCGGGTGTATCAGGAGAGGTGGTTTAACATTAGAGCTGAGTGAGCATTTCAATACTGATCAAAATATTTAAGCACTCTTATTTTAGTGCCGTCTAGAAGCTTCCATAACTAATAACTCCATACTTCATTCTAATAACATAATAAAATACTTTGTTTAATGACACTTGACCTACCTGTTGCACTGATGTGTGAAACATGATGTGTTTCAGTCAAAGCTTTGGATTCACGCTTGGTCTAAATGGTATCAAACAATGGTGAAACCACCCCTTCCATAAGCAGAAATATCCACTGGAAAGAATCCAATGTGTGGATAGTGGATTCATAGTTTGTTTTTAAGACATCATAGAGCTAACTAGTGATTCCAGGCAAGTGTTCAAGAAGCTAAAGCATTCTTCATAAAATGCAATTTTAGATGACAAAATGAATGGATGTTACAATATGACCTGAGGGCTGAATGTCTTGGGTGTGTTTTGTAATGGGTTTCTAATGCAGTTAAGGGAGTTGTTATTGTTGCACTTCACTGCTCACCTGAGAGTACAGTGCCCCCCCTGTGGCCATTGATGAGTACAAGGGTAAGGCAGAGCATGAAAAGGGCACTGTGAATATCATGTTGAATATGAAACTCATTTTTACACAGCAAACAAGCGACAGTAGTTCTCTGGACTTCTACTGTAATTATCTTGCGAAGAAGAGAAGTGGCGAAGAGAGAGCCCCTGTGTGTGGAGCAGTGCTCGGATGAGCTGCTGGAGGAGAGGCGCTCAGCAGAAACACAGCCCATGCTGCCTCCCCCAGCCCTCAAGCTCGGGACCCAGCAGGTTCTCCGTGTTTCTTTCATTGATAAACGTATGTTATATTGACCCAATTATGGTATGGTCTAACTGTGTCTTACTTTTCAACAGCTGTTCATTATTTACAGAAAAGTAATACATTCTGGACATCGGTGGTAACCTATTCCCTACAGCAGTGATTCCCAGCCCTGGTACCGAAGAAACACCATCTCTATCCTAGTGTTTCCCAGCCCCTGGTCCCGCTGGAACACCATCTCTGTCCAGCGCTTCCCAGCTCCTGTCCCTAGGGAACACCGTCTCTATCCCAGCATTTCCCAGCCCCGTCCCAGAGAAACACCGTCTCTATCCCAGCACTTCCCAGCCCCGGTCCTGTAGGAACACTGTCTCTATCCCAGC